TCTATATTCTATATTCTATATTCTATATTCTATATTCTATATTCTATTCTATTTAATCTATTATATTATATTATATTATATTCTCTATTCTGTTCTATTCTATGTTCTATATTCTATATTCTATGTTCCATATTCCATATTCCATATTCCATATTCCACAATCCACATTCCATATTCCATATTCCATATTCCATATTTTCAGTTCTGTTGTAACTTCAGTCATTAAGCGAATGGTTGTAATTCAAGAACTATCTGTAAAGCAGCATTTTTAAAAATAGAATAGAATAGAATAACAGAGTTGGAAGGGACCTTAGAGGTCATCCAGTCCAACCCCCTGCCCAAGTAGGACACCCTACACAATTTCTGACAGATGGAAGTCCAGGCTCTTCTTGAAAGCCTCCAGTGATGAAACTCCCACAACTTCTGAAGGCAACTTCTGTTTTATGGGTTAATTGCTCTCAACTGTTAGGAAATTCCTGCTTATTTCCAGGTTGACTCTCTCCTTGTTCAGTTTCCATCCATTATTCCTTGTCTGGCCTTCGGGTGCTTTAGAAAACAGCTTGACCCCCTTTTCCTCTCTGTGGCAGCCCCTCAAATATAGGAAGACCCCTAATCTGTCTCCCCTGGTCCTTCTCTTTCCTAGACCAGCCAGGCCCAGTTCCTGCAACCATTCATTGTATGTTTTAGCCTCCAGTCCCCTCATCATCCTGGCTCTTCTCTGCATTTTTTCTCGAATCTCAATGTATTTTTTACATATATACAAATAATTGATATGATGATTTTCCTTGGCCCAAAAGACAGGTTGTAAATGATTTTCTACTTTTTTAAAAAAAACTTCTATGGCATATTTTGAGCGGAGTTCAAAGGTGCTCTGTCCACTTTTCTCTATTTTTCTGTCTCTCTGTCAGGAGGGAATCAAATTTGAAAGCAAACCCTGGCTGTGCTGCAATACCTTCATAATATTAACGATTTCCAAATGCTGGGTATTTAAAATCATGGGATTGAGGTTTTCACAGCTGTCTCCATTGGCGAGAGTGACTCTTGGATCACCTTGTGGCCGATGGGATGACCCAAATACTGTTCCCACCCTTTGCTCCTTTGCTAGAATTCCCCAGCAATTTCTGAATTAATTTCTACTTGCAGACAAAACCAATTCATTTATTTATATTGGGCAGGAAAGTGAACAACTGAAACAAAACCGATCTAAATTGCTGGTCAATTTAGGTCCTACCCTGATCTCCGCTCTTTGTCTCTTGGCTGACTGGTGGATTCCCAAGAATGTCCTTATTTTAATTTTAAAAGATGGGATGAAAGAGGAGCCCAGTGCCAAAAAATATTCGAATCTGAAGTCCCCCGCTGAAGCCAGTGATGGGATTCAAATAATTTATCAATTGGTTCTCTGCCCTAATGATTTCTTCCAACAATCAGTTCACCAAACTGCTGAGAAAGTTAACAACCAGTTCTCCCCAACCGGTGTGAACGGGCTGAATGCCACCACTAGTTGAATTCCTTTGAATTATTTGGGAGCAGTAAATTCTATATTGAAATGTCAGTGGCAGCTGAATTTCAAAGCATCCAGACAGTCAGTTGGTAGGCAGGGTGGGTTTGGTCTGTATCTTCTCATTTGGCATTTTGGCTGAAACTGGATCCGTAGATCCATAGCCATTTAAAACAGAACAAGAGGGGAATTATTGTTGGGGAACTTCACCCAAAGTGGTTTCCAGTTCTTTGTCTTTGAGAGGGCTGTGGGAGGAATGACCCTGGAAAAAGGCAATCAATGGAAAAAACATCTTCTGCAGAAACGAGATAATAATAATCATCATCATCATCTAAAATAATGTGTTTCTGTTGTATTTTTTTTTCTTTCCCTAGGACTGCAAATAGAGAATTTTTTTTTCATGGTGTTCTCCCCTCCTAATGAACTCAAAACCAAAAAGTTCAAGCACCTCCATAACTGAATGTTATAATTTCATAGAACCTAGTTCTTCAATACCAGATCAGCACTCCTCCTCCTCCTCCTCTTCCCCCTCCTCTTTTCCTCCTCCTTCCTTCCTCCTTTGTTTCCTTCTTTCCTCTCTTTCTTTTTTCCTCCCTCCTTCCCTCCATTTCTCCCTTTCTTTTTCCTCCCTACCTCCCTCCATTTCTTTCTTTTTTCCTTCCTTCCTTCTTTCCTCCATTTCTTCCTTCCTTCTTTCCTTTCCTTGTCCCTCCTTCCCTTCCCCTAATGAAATTATGTGTGTGTGGCTGCGGGTGTTGTGTGCAGTTGCCAAATGCCAAAATTGGCACATGCAGCCTAGCTTTTAACGAAATGCTTACTTGGGGCTTTCTTTCCATGTGAAATATAATATAAATGTTCGTGACTGTTTAAATTCAATTATGCACACATCTTTTGGAGCATGGGTTTCCCCCCCCCAAATAATCCATTCCCTGCCCCTCCCCCCCTTCCTCTAAAAGAATCATATCAGAATTCCTGCCTGACTGGGTCTATCTTCACAAGTGATGGACAGTAAGTAGAGTGAGACAGCAAGTTAAAGAAAGGAAGAGAAGCGTGGAAAATGATGGCCTAGATATGACGTGTGCAAAGTGCTTGGAAGAATTTGCATCCGATTAAAACACTTGGGAGGTTCTGGAAGCCTCAGAATATGCAAGGTGTTGCATTCATACAGGAAAAAAAACACAGGCAGATTTTTTGTCATGTTGGGATCCCCATTTTTTACCACCCCCCAATGGATACCCCAAGAAATCTTTGCGGGTTTATGTTTATATGAGAAAGTGAGATATATATGTTTTTCATATAGAGATATATATGTTTTTCTTTGCATTTCATGCCATCTGTGGAACTCAGCCTTTTGCAAATGCCAGCTCTGTTTAATTTCCTAAAGTGTTTTTTTTTTATAATCCATCGGGGGGGTGATGGAAAAGGGGTTCCTTGGGGGAAAAAACCCCACTGTACCTTTTGCGCTCCCTGTTTTCTCCTGCCGGTTTTTTTCCCCCCTTCCCCAGTTTTCTGGCACAAGAGGATGCGTAGGAAGGAAAAAAAAATGTCTTGCAAACCCTTTACTAAAAGTTATTTAATTTTCTTATAAAGTGGCATCGCCTTTCTCCGGGGGCCCAAGGTGGATTTCCCAGCTGGAAATCTGGCCCCCTGTTGTGTGTTTTGTGCCAGAGATTTCTCTCTCCTTCCAATGCTTCTTGTAATTCATTTTGTCGTAGTTACGATCCGCCAATGTTCTTTTTTTTTTTCCCAACAGTGCTCGGCAGAATGTGGTTCCGGCGTCCGAACTCGTTCCGTGGTCTGCATGACCAACCACATCAGCAGTTTGCCACTGGAAGGTTGCGGGCACAACAGACCAACGGAGAGCACCCCCTGTGACAATGGGCCTTGCCTGGGGAAGGTCGAGTGGTTTGCTGGCAGCTGGACTCAGGTACCTTTGATGCATGGATGGGATGTCTTTCTAGATCCCTCTTTAGCTGGTGGGGGAGGCCACAATGGCTCAGCGGTTAAAGACACGGATCTTGACAGCCCGGGTTCGAGACTCGAGCACTGTACAAAAGGGTGAGCTCCCGTTCCTTCCCTCAGCTCCTGCCCACCTAGCGGTATGAGAGCTTACAAATAAATATGTGTTCTGACCGAGGCTTCCTGAGACATCAACAAACACAAATAAAATCCAAAACTCTTTTATTTTAGTTCAATGGCTGTGAATGATCGTCATTCGCAGATTGACAGCCACTTGTCTGAAATGATACAGGGTTTCCTGTCTGAGTAGGGGGTCAGACTAGAAGACATCCAAGGTCCCTTCCAACTCTGTTATTCTGTTATCAAATGCGAGTAGGTGAATTGGAACCACTTTGGTGGGAAAGTAACAGCGTTCCGTGAATCTTTGGTGTATAGTCATGCTGGCCAGACGACCACAGAAACATGTCTTCTGACAATGCTGGCTCCCTCGGCCAAAGGAGTAGAGATGCAACCCTACAGCCAGACATGATTGAACAGGGGAAATCTTTGCCTTATGTGGAACTGTTGCCAAGAGAACCAAGGCCTGTCTCAAGGTCATGATGTAAGAAAGGCCTTGCACCCGCTCCCTCCAAGAGCAGGTGGGAAGAAGAGTGGACAGCTTGCTTGCTCTTTCATCCGTCCTTAACGCTGGGCGGTTTCAAGAACAGCTGCAATGCAGATGTGGTAGAACCTAGCCAGATTTTGCTGGTTGTCTTATCACAGAGAGCTGGAAGGGGCCCGTTTAAAAGGGAGGACTCATCTGTTGCCGATTTCTCAGCTGGGGTGTATGTGGAGAGTAGCCCCATTTCCCACTTCTCCTTCTGGCCCTACAGTTTGAAGGCCCTTCAGGACAGTGATCCCCAACCTTTTTTATGCCGCGGCCCGGTACCGGCATCAGCTGGGCGCCGCCATCTTTTTTTGATGAAAAAGTGCTTCCGGTGAGCTTTCTACCCGGAAAAGCTCACCGGAAGCACTTTTTTATCAAAAAAAGATGGCGGCGCCCAGCAACCAGTGGCCCGGTAAGACT